TTTACTGTGATCTAACCAACGTTTGTTTCCTCTCCTTGCACTGGTAAAGAGTGAAGAGAGGAGAGAGGTGTTGCTACAATAATAAAACGTTTTCCTTGCTCTAACCAACGTTTCTCTGTCTCCGTGCAGTGGTGGAAACGTCCCGGCCGTCTGTCCTGAACGACCCGACGCCCAAGCCACGCCGGAAGCTCATCCAGGCGCCGAGGTTCAACTTGTCTGCTGAGGTAAGGGAAGGGAAGGGGGGGGGGCGGTGTGCCGGGGGGTTCTCTGGCTCTCGCGCTCTTTCTCTTGTTCGGTTTATGTTTTTTTTCTCTTTCTCTTGCTTTTGGTTTTTCTCAGGGTAGTTTTTTTTTTCTCTTTCTCTTGGTCTTGGTCTTGGTTTTATCTCTCTTTCTCTAGTTCGGTTTATTTCTTTCTCTTTCTCTTGCTCTCGGTCTTTATCTATTCGATTTTTTTTCTCTTTCTCTTGCTCTTTCGGGTCTCTTGGTCTTGTTTTTTCTCTTTCTCTTGCTCTTGGTCTTTCTCTGTTGTTTTTTTTTTTTTCTTTCTCTTGGTCTTGGTCTTATCTCATTTTTTTCAGGTCATTTTTTTTTCTCTCTTTCTCTTGTTTTTGGCCTTATCTCTTTCTCTGTTCAATTTTTTCTCTCTTTCTCTTGCTCTTTCGGGTCTCTTGGACTTTCTCTTTCTCTGCTCGATTATTTTCTCTCTCTTTCTCTTTCTTAGTCATGTTCTTTAACTTTCTCTGTTCGATTTTTTTCTCTTTCTCTTGCTCTTTCGGGTCTCTTGGTTTTGGTTTTTCTCTTTTTATCTGTTCGATTTTTGTCTCTTTCTCTTTCTCTCCCTTGGTTTTTCTCTTTTTCTGTTTGATTTTTTTTCTCTTCCTCTTGCTCTTATCTCTTTCTCTGTCCGGTTTTTTCCTCTTTCTATTCGTTCTCTTTCTCTTTCTATTCGTCTACTTCTTTCTCTTTCTTCATCCCTTCTCCCTCGTCCATCTCTCTCTCTGGCTTACTCATGTTTCCCTTTACAGAAAAAACGTTTATGTGATACTATTATCAAAACATCTAGAGTCTAAGCTTGAATTTGATTTTCATCGATATATTTATTTATCTGTCTATCTTTCTCTAAGTTGCCCCTTCCCTCCGTTTTTCTCCCTTCCTTCTCTCCTCCTCTCCCCGTTTATCTCCCTCTTATTTCTCTCCTTCTCCCTCTCCTGATTGCCCTTTCTCTCCATTTATCTCCTCTCTCCTTCTCTCCCTCACCCTATATTTATCTCCCCTCTCTTTCTCTCCCTCTCTCCATTTTTCTCCCCCTTCTCTTTCTCTCCCTCTCTCCATTTTTATCTCCCTTCTCTTGCTCTCCACCTATCACCTTGTTCCTCCATTCATCACCCTTCTCTCTCTCCCCTATCACCTTGTTCCTCCATTTATCACCCTTCTCTCTCTCCCTCCTTCCACAGGACGAGGACGACGATGACCTGAGCGACATCCCGCCCTCGAGCCCGCGTCTGGGTCACACGCCCCTCCTGCAGACCACCTCCCCCAGGAGCCCCTCGCCCCACAACTCCGCCTCACCGCCCACCTCACCATGGTCGCGCATGGGTATGTCACCGGGGAGGGTAGTGGGCGGGAATGGGGTAGGGTAGGGTATAATGGGGTGCGGCGTGATATAAGGGGGGTATGGGTTATGGTATGATAGGGTGGGTATGGGGTGTAATGGGGTATGGGGTGTAATGGGGGATAGGGTGTATGGGTATGATATTTAAGGGTATAATGGGTATGATAGGGTGTGTGTATGGGAGGGTTTGTGTGGGGGGGATGGAATATGATGAGATTATTATTATTATTTTTTTTTTAGATTTGGTATTTGGTTTTGTAACTGAGTGTGGGTTTAAGTGGGATGGGATGGGTGGGTGCTGGGAGTGGGAGGGGGAGGGGAGGGTATTATGGGTTTAATTTTTTTTGTGATGATCGGGGTTGTAATTTTTGTTGTAGTTGTTGTTGTTGTTGAAATATTATTCATTATTATTGGTCTCGTTCTATTTGTTGGGTTTTTGGGTCCGCGTGTTGTATTCCGCTCGTCGACGTCAATCACCATGCCTTCGCGACACGTATAAATAGAGCTCAGCCCCGAGTATCAACAAGGGTTTCCACAAAAGCGTGTTTTCCCGACGTCGGCCCAGCACGCGGCCGCAGAGGGAGAGAGCGCGCCGTATAAATAGCGATAAATATAAATTCCTGACGTCCCCTGTCCTCCTGACGTCCCCTTTCCCATTCCAGCGTTCGACCTGGCCAAGTACGGCAGCACGGGCACCCCCGAGCGACGCCACTCCATCACCCTGTGCGAGACGCCCTCCCAGGCACGCCCCTCCTCCAACTCCATCACCCCGCCCTCGTCCATGCCCCAGTCCGCCAACTCCTCGGCGCCCATGTCCCCCGCCCACCAGGACTTCATCCCCTCCACCTCGCAGACGCAGAGGGACTTCCTGTCGTCGTGAGGAGTTATTTTATTGTTTTTAGTATTATTGTTATGATTGTTATTATTGTTGTTATTGTTATTAGTATTATTGTCATTATTGTTATTGTTAATATTAGTAGTATTTTATTATTTTATTATTATTGTTACTGTTATTATTGGTATTGTTATTATAGTTATTATTATATTATTATTATTATTATATTTTTTATTGTTGTTTTGTTGTGTGTGTGTGTGTGTGTGTGTGTGTGTGTGTGTGTGTGTGTGTGTGTGTGTGTGTGTGTGTGTGTGTGTGTGTGTGTGTGTGTGTGTGTGTGTGTGTCATGTACTTGTGTGCATGTGTACGTGTGTGTGTGCATGTACTTTTTCCTTTTCTTTTTTTAGTTATCCCTTCCCACTATGGTTAAACAAGCCCCCTTCTCTGGCAGGCACACTTCTCGTCACGTCTGGACTGCCTGGCCCTCACCCTGGAGGAGGTGGTCCACATCCGCAATGTCCTGACAAAGGCCGACCTGGAAGCCCTGCCCCTTGACTTGTCCATCAAGGAGGACATGGCTAAGGGCAAGATCTGCTTCCTGTGCATGAAGACTCGCTTTGGCTTCTTCGGCCCGAGAGGACAGGATTGCAGACTTTGCAAGAGAACGGTGTGCAAGAAGTGTGTTACTAAGGTGAGGCTTCGAAGTTGGTCGCGTCTGGGTTGAGAGGAATGCAGGCGAGGTGATGGGACCCTGGAATGTTATTTTTGCGTTTTGTGATGTGTTTGATATTCTCTTTCTATGATAGGAGGAAATTAATGCTGTAATCTATGTTTTTATTCACCTTAAGTGGCTCCATTATTCATTTTCCTTCCTAAGTCCCATCATTTTTTTTTTTCATATTCTTTTTATGTATATTCCACTGTTAATTTGTTCCATATCCCTGTTGAGTCTTCTATATTTTCTCATATTCTTAAAGATTCCATTATTCATTTATTCTATCTTTACAAAGTCCATCATTTATTTGCCTTTGTTGCTTTCATTATTATCAATTGTTCCATTATTCCTTCCCTTCCCTTGCAGATGCGCATCCCCACCGAGCACTTTTCAAACATCCCCGTGCAGATGCTGACTCCACAGGCGCTGTCTCCGCGAGAGGACGATGAAGACATGTCTCTGCCACGCTCCATCTTGTCGAGACTTACGGTTAGCATCTAAGGAGATATTAGTGTTTTGGCTATTTCTTGTTTATTTATATGGTATTGTTGTTATTATTAATATTTTCTTAAAGTAATCAATTTGTTTACTTTTATTCAAACTTACTCCATATTCATTTTTTGTTATTACATTTTTCTTTTACTTTCTTTGTCTATGTAAAGTTCATATTGTTTTCCTCTTCTTTTATGAAATCCTGGTTGATTTATGTATTTTTTATTATTATGTTTTTTTGGTCATAGTAGTTTATTGATTAATTTTTGAGTTGTACCTCATTTATTTTGTTATAATAAATTGTTTTTCTTTTTTTGTATGGATATTGGGTATAGGTGAATAGGCCTAGTAATTCTCTTAAAGATTTGAACACAAGATTGGAGTCAGTACGGTATGCAAATCAAACTTCCTTTTATAAGCTTTTTACAAGAGTATCCCACTCTCTACCTCTGGACTTGTTCACTAAGAGAATGCAGAACTTCCATGTTTGAAGGTACAATTTAGGCACGTAGGGATGTTTGAGACGAATATCAATAATTTTGTCAATCTGATTGACTAATGAACTATGCAGTAATATTATCCGACTTAATGAGAAGTAAAAGAGAGAATAAATGCATGAGGTATTTTGGGAAAGGATCTTTATGTTTGCCTGTAAAAACATAAGTCAATTGTTATCCTTTATCATTATTGACTTTATTTGTTTTTATTCAAGAGGTTTGGCAGAATTAACAAAATTGTTTATAATTATCATTATTATTATGATTATTATTTTCTTATAATGAAATGAGATAATATTGATTTATGAACTTGGTGTATGGTTGATCCAAAAGTTCATGTGATGAGTAGAAGAGAATTTTATATTATTTATGGGATTTATATGTGTTTGTATTGCATAGTGTTCATAATTTTTACTTTTCTTTTTTTTTGAATAACAATGATAAATGGTTGTTAGTGGTTTTATGTAGTCAATGTGCATGTGTGTCTGTGTGTTTGTAAAGAGGATGTTGGTGAACGTTGTTTTGATGTTATTGTAGAGGTGACTGACTTAGATGTACGAAAAGGATTATGATAAGTTAGTAAAAGTTATTTTAGTAATAGATTATGATACAGGTTGATGAACGATGTGAATATTTTGTGTGTAATTCCAAAAGATTATTGATCAAAAGGGGAAAAGAAATTGAACATTTTCAAATCTTACAGAAAAAGGGCGTGGAAAATGTCAGTAGACGCCTTTACGTCTTGGTGAGCTGAATTCATTAGAGAGATGATTCTTGCACAAATATATCACAAGACCAGTTACAGAGATTGCATGGTAGAGCACATATAAAGTGCATGATATTAGAATATTCTGTCTCATGAGGACAGACAGACAAACAGGTGTGAGAAGGCATTATATTTTTCTTCCCCTTTCTTTGACCCCATTTTTTTCCCCCATTCCCCCTTCTGCGTCTTTAGCCCACCACCCTCCACCCCCATCTCAAAGCGATTTCCAGGCATTAGAAAGCTTTCTATAATAACATCAGAGGATACAAACAGCTATTTACTAACCCAGCATCAGATTGCCAAAGTATTAGTCTTCCTCTTTCGGCCGTAAATCTTCCCTGATACTCGTTTTGATAAAGCGTTTGATGGGATGGTGACCTTATCTTAGTGCTGAAAATGAGTAACTGATGTCATGGACTAATAAAGATACCAGATAACTGTGAAGGCTAGGAAGTCCTGGTGGTGTTGCCTGGAGTAAAGCCACACACACTTTCTTTGCAGTTTAACATCTCTGAACACATCGTAAAACGCATTCAGGTAACAGAGCACGAAGAGAGCGTAAGTCAGTCGGCAAGCACTCACATCCTGCCTCAGGTACAGCTCAGGAAAGCTAATGATGAAAGGGCTTATTTTTTTTCCTTTTTTTGTGGTCATCTTGAGAAAGATTGAAGCTTTGTCTTTTCATTTTCTATTTTTTCCCCCCACCCACCCCACCAGCCCCAAAGAAGAACTCCATACACACACTCTCCATTACTGTCTCTCTCGCTCTGTCGAGTTCCTGGCTTCGTGATGCTTATCCTTTTTTTGGGAGGAGTTTCCCTTCAATGAGAGAGACTTACACTGGTCAGAATATGTACATAAACTGCCTCTCACCCACAGCATTGTCCTTTGAGTTAGCATAAGATGTTAAGTAGTACACCAAGAGAGAACTTAGATGAGCTAATTATATAATACATGCTCTACTCCGGTATGCTAAACACCTCATTCTCTCAGTGTCTGTGTTTGAGCCGTTAGGAGAAGTTGAGAAAAAGTCTTGCTTTCACTCCCAGCATTTGATCCTTGGTGTAACCGCTCAATATGAAGATTTCCCATGGCTTCATCTCCATGCACGCACTCAGATGCTATATTTATACACAATTGTTTCCGTTTTATGAGTGGCTGCATGCCAATTTGGACAGCCAGAGCTTCCGCCTACACTTAAATCTATCGCATGTTTCATGGCCTATATATACACAGAAAAAAGAAATCCAAAGCTTGAAAGAGTGATATTTTGAGCTTATTTGGTATATTCTTTGGCCTGCTGCTTCTGAGTGTGTAAAGCTACTTTTTTTGCTATGTGTTTTATTTTGGTATAAATTTGAAAGGGTCTTTATAACTTTACCTTTTCCATTTTTCTCTGAAGTCGAGGTTGAATAAGAATGTTCATGGATGCACCAGAGCTAGCCTGAGTGCTTATAAACTAACCCTGTATAAAAAGTTATTTATATAAAAGTTAAGGTGCTTTAGGAAGCAGTGCCTTGTCCTTATTGCGAAAAGAAAGTGAAAGATTAACCGAACGCTGCATTCACAGGACCTACAGCTGCCAGGGAACAGCACAAGCAGTGGGAATGCAGAACGACGTAGCAGCGTCAGTGGCAGTGTGGGGTCGGCACCTTCCTCGCCAACCCTCACAAGAGCTGTTGAGGGACCTGCCTCACTGCCAGCACAGTCACCTGCGCCCTACGTCAATGAAGCCATCAAGAAGTAAGTTTTAAGAGTCTTGGGGTTCGGCATTTTGCAAAAAGTGTTTTCGGGTCATTTGCTCTTGAGTTTGACTTTTTGTTTTTTTGTTTTTTGTTATGCTTCTGCTCCGTGCTTGGGTTTGCTTCTTCGTGATTTGTTTCGAATGCTTTGACTTTCTGCTTGTGCCTGCTTGTCTGCATTAAAGCATGGGTTCTAGGATATCCATTGTTTTTTATTTTCTTGTAAACATTTTTGCTTGCTTGGAAAAATACCTCTATGCTTGTATTGATTTTTTTTTTTTTATGTATTATTTTGCATGATATTTTCCTGTATTGTTTTGGTTTTTTGTTTGTTTTTGGCTTTCTGTCTTTCATCCTTTACTTCCATTTATCCTGCTTTTCCTTCTTTTACTATCTCCCTTTCTGTCTCCCTGTCTTCCTCACTCTCTTTGTCTTTCCCTTTTCCCATCTATATCCTCCTTTCTCCCTCCTCCCCTCGACCTCTTCCTTTATCCCAATCATTCTCTCTTCCTCTCTCCCTCTCCCTTTCTCTTTGTTTACTGATCATGCTCAAGAATGTTGCAAGTGAGGAATACTCCCATGCATACAGTTTCACATAAATCTCCCTCTCTGCCCTGCTTGCTTAGATGTCGCCTTATACGCTCCCATACAATTAGTCGCCTGGAGATCAAGCACCGCTTCCCTTGGGCGAAAAAACCACCAAAGTTAGTAAGCTCTTGTGCTGTTTGCTTTTGATGTGTGTGTGTGTGTTGGCTGAAACCTTTCTCGTAAGGACCATCCTCGAGTCCATTGTGATTTAACCGAGTGTGGTGATTGTGGGTGATTTTGGGTACAAGTCGAGTCTCTAAAGGCATAGTTATTGTAAGGCTGTCCAAATTACCCTACACAAAAGCAATTATATTATATAGAGACCAATATATTTTGCATAGCTTTTTGCAAATGACTTGTTACAGTATGGAATTATGCATACACACAAAATTATTTATCTTGTTTATATATATGGCAGAGGTCACAAAGAAAGGTATAGAAGACAGATTACCAGAAATCTGGAGAAACTTATCAAAACAAAATTTTTGTTAAGTAGTATTTTGTATCATACAAGTTGAACAAAACCACAGTACCCATTCATTCAAGGAAAGATAGAATGTATTTTTTCTCTCAACCACTTGCTACAACTACAAGCTCTTCATTCTCGAAATTGTGCACAACAGCTAAAGAAATTAGTTTGACAAATGGCTTTTGTTTTCTTTTTGCCATAACCTGATCCTTTCTCTTTCTTTACAAAAAAACATTGTATATTTTCTTTTCTAGGGTCTTTCTCAGTATGCATGGCCTGTTTAACTCTTGCATTTTTTTTTTTCTTTCTTTTTTTATTATTAATTTATAACTAGTTTTATTTTTTCAATATGCATGACTTATCTCCCTCTGCTTCGCATGCTCTGTTTGCACCCAAAAAGGCCAAAGCTGGTGAGGTCTCATACTCTCGGTGTCGCTGAAAGTAGAACCGCCAAGCAGCGCCTTTTAGCCCAGTAAGTGGCTTTTTTCTTTTGTTTCTTTTGTTTCAGATTTTTTTTTTTTTTTTTTTTAATACTAAATACTGCATGCATGTTTGTTGCATCAGTTTTTTAAGCAGAAGCAATTTAGTGGAATGTTTTGTTGGGTTAAGGGAGAGAGGCGACTTACTCTCTCTCTATTATTTTCTAGCAGTTTTTGCATAGATATATCTTTGTAAAAAAGTTTATTTTCAATAGTTGTGCATATATACTTTTATTTTTAAAATTTTTGGTCATTTTGAGGTTAGTAATGTCTGCTATTGACAAATAAAGTTCATTATACCTTGTATTTTGCACTATTCCTCGTGAGACTAATGGAAAATTCCTTCCCTTTCCTTCCCCCTTCTTTCAATCCTAAAGGAAACAGAAGCAACGCTCACGAACCACCCAGGCGGAGGAGAGGCTGCGAGGGGAACTGATGGTCGTGTGTGGTGACTGCAAGGCTATGGTCCTACACATCCTGGCCTCCATTAGGGTTCGGAGGGAGCAGCAACAGGGGACCTCGAGTCAGCATGAGTCTCCGCGCCATCACCTGCACCTTAATCTCCACCCTGTTTACAACTAATTTCAAGCATTCACGGAAAAAGCTAAGAAAAATCAACGCTAATTGAGAACAAAGGTAAAGAAGATAATAATAAGAAGAAATTGATACCACTTGAAGAAATGTCACATGATGATTCACAGATCCTTCAAGTTGAAAAAAAAAAAAAAAAAAAAATTATGAAAAGCAAGACAAAAAGAACAACAGCACAAAAAAAGTCGAAAGATGGAAAACCGATTCTGATCATCTATAAAGTGTACCCATTATTCAGATCCTCTTTGATGATAATTGATAATTATTTAAGCATGTTTAGACATTACAACAAATTACAACAACTCACAAAGACAGGATCACTACCCTCGGAGCCTAGTCCCAGTCCTCGGCGTGTCTACTCTCTGTTCATGGGTGCTGTCATCGGGCTCGAGGCATCCTGTTCGAGTACATGATCACATGATTGTAGAAGCTGTGCTATTTTTTTTTTTTTTTTTTTTTCTTTTTTTAAACTTTTTTCATGGTATTGTAGTTTTTTCTCCCTCTTGTCACCACTCTTTAGCCTTCCTTCTTGGAATTGCTTTTTATTCATATTTTTTATTATTGTTGTTATTTTTTTTTTTAGTAACCATCCCCATATTTTCAGTGCTTTTGCTTTTCTTTTCTTTTTAAACGCAAAATTTCCTTTATTTTTATTCATTTTTTATTTGCATTTTCCTCAGAGTGAAACCATCCCCATTCCCATTGATCAAGTATTCTCCATTAAGCATATAGCAGTTATTCTCCATTCACTTTTTTCTTACGTCAGAAGCACACACAAATAAAGGAAAAAGAAAGCAAGTCCTGTAATTAGGTGCATTTTGTAAGCTTTCCTGATATTCCAATTTTACGTAGCTTACAAATGAACCTCATCTTGGCCCACGCCATCAAAGGTTACAGCCTTTTAAGGAAAAAGTATAAAGAGATTTCATGATCTAAGCAAAAAGAGATTGTCTTCTTTTATCATTTATCATAAAGAAAGTAAAACTTGGAGCAAAGAAGGCCGACGAAGGCCGTCATCAAAAATCCCTTTCCTCTTGCCGGGAAAACAGATCATGATATTTCTTGTTCCAAATGTAGCTTCCTTTGCTTACCATATCATATCTATGGATTACGACAAACTTGTTTTTATTCCTATGCTCTACAGTGTAGTCTTGTGTGTAAGTGGTTATGTAGATATTCAGTGGTTGGTCAATATGCGGCAGTTGGACTTGTGGGCGTGATTGATGCTGGGTTGCTTAAGGAGCTGGTAATGATGTGGAAAAATTATTTCACTGGCTAATTCTTTTGGCTTAAAAAGACAGTTCTTGTGCAGTTATTTTTTTAGGTAAAAGACATGTAGCACAGGTTAATGAGAGATTTGGTTCCATATTTGTTTAACTGTTTGATAATTTTTCTGGTTATGTAGAGAAAAAATCTCTTGAGCAATGTTTCTTATTTGTTTTCATGCTTTGATTTTTTTTTAATTGATTTATATTTTGCTGTAAGTGAACAGGGTGCTAAGAGTCAATACTAATGAGCATTTCTTTCACAAAGAAAGATGTGTGCTTGGTATGTACACAAGGTTCAGCAGTAGAACGCTTTATTGAAACATGGCTTTTCACATTTCAGTGACGTTTTTAAGAATCTTGGCAGTTTTTTGTTTTTTTTTATGATCATAGCATTTTTTTTTGTCTCTGTTAGCAAGGACTTGTATAGAAAATATGGACATCAGATGTATTTTTGATGATAAACAGGATTCTGTAATTTAATGAGAATCAAATATTTTGTAGGTAGAACTTCAGTTGACAGTATAGAAGGGAGGATAACAATGTTAATAGATTTTCTTATCAAGACCTTTTGAGGGCTCGGCAATCTATTTCTTATCAAGACCTTTTGAGGGCTCGGCAATCTATTTCTTATCAAGACCTTTTGAGGGCTCGGCATCTTAAGAACAGAGAGAAAGAATAGAAAATGTTGCTCATGTGAGAAGCTAACCAAAAAAGTATAATCAAGATCCAGTCTTTCCTGAGATGCCCCCATTGATAGTGGAAGGAGGAACTTAAATTTGCATGGCAGTGCCACTTTATGAAGATTTTTTTTTTTCTATAACTTAAAAGGAAAAGGAAATGATTTTGTTTATGTGCTTGTTTGTGAATGTACAGCTTTCCAAAAGAGAGGAAATTATTAAGTAAACCCCTTTATCTTTTATATGTTTTTTTTTTTTTTTATGTAAAAAAAAAAAAAAAAAAAAAATGCACAGTTCAACTTCTCTGTTGATGATTATTGTTAAATCATTTAGTTGATTCCTGAGGACTGTTATTTTCCCATGGGATAGGTGACTTGTTGGCATAAGACGAGGATGACATTAACACGAACAAGAAATCAAAGAAAGCCAGCGGAATATGTGGTGGAGTTTGTTTTCACAGATTAGGCTTTGTCTCGTCCTCCGCATGTGTACAGTTAAGTTAATTTCTGTAACCTGACCTCATATTGAAGTCAGGTCATGCCATAATTTTTACTCGTTAGAGATTCTTGCTCCAGTAACGTGAAGTTAAGATGTCGTGAGGATTTTTTTTTTTTTTTTTCATTATCTTTTTCATTAGCGTAATACAACAGTTAATGTATCACTCTGTATTTAGTTACCTTGTGAATGAAGTGTAATGATGTTCACATTAACGTAACCATAAGACGTTTCTTCTCCTGTGAATAGCCAATTTAGTATTGCAAGAGAACCACAAAAAAAAGGTTACATATATACATTCCAAAGTGCATTTATATTTAAAGAAGAGAAATCTTAATAGTGAAGTGTTTATTTATTTTTCATTATAGTTATTATTGTTTATTTTTATTTTTTATTGAGTTTAGGTGAATAAGACGAGAAAGATTTCTCCCAATTTGAAGAGGATAGTTGTCTTCTTTCATTTGCATTATTTGTGGGGATTTTTCCTCGACAGTTTCTTTCCCTACGCGCTGTTTTGCCCTTGTTTGTACAAAGTTATATATATATATATTTTTGTCTTTTGTATATAAACTTCCTCTTATGTTAATATAGATTTGAATTAAAGCTCCTTTGTTTGTGTCTTTCTTTCTTTCTTTTTTCATTCATTTTTTTTTTTTTCAAAGTGCATACAGTCACAAACTTTGTGTGTTCTGTACTGTCAGTGTTTATTATACGCAGAAGAGTTACTGTAGAGTCTTTGGCTTTGATGCTTCCATGTGAAAACTCATTTAGATATGTTTTAGCTTGCAAGCTGTTGTTAGTTGACAGTATAACTCTGTTCCAGTACATGTCTTGACTAGACCTGTTGCATCTTCTTCCCTATGCTTCTTCTTTTTCCCCACCACCTCTTTCTCTCCTCTCTCCCCTCTCCTCTCCTCTTCACTCCACTCCACTCTACTCTACTCCTCTCCTCTCCTCTCTTCTCTTCTCTTCTCTTCTCTCTTCTCTTCCTCTCTTCCTCTCTCTCTCTCTCTCTCTCTCTCTCTCTCTCTCTCTCTCTCTCTCTCTCTCTCTTCTCTCTCTCTCTCTCTCTCTCTCTCTCTCTCTCTCTCTCTCTCTCTCTCTCTCTCTCTCTCTCTCTCTCTCTCTGTCATTCCTTGTTCTCAGGTTAGACTTTTACATTGCAGTATATTATTGATATTATTATCTTTTTTATAGCTTCATTTTGGTTATTATTTTTCTCATACATAGGTGTATATATGTATACACCCATATATTATTTTTCCTTCACAGTATTACATTGTTTACATTTTTATTCGATATTGCTGGAGCGCTGAGGAAATATGGGTAACATGCACTTTTTAGATGCATGAACACTAGAAGCACAAATTGGTATACATTATCCTTTGTAGTAGTATCTTCATATTATTGATAGCATTATTATCATTTTATTATTATCATTATTATTATTGATATTATTATTACCATTTATTTGTATTGGTACATTTGTATTGCAAAGAACTGTAATATGTATGTTTCTTTTTTCCTTGTTATGAATTTTTAGTGTTTTAGTTCTGTATTTTTGCAAGGATATCGAGTTTCTTTTAAGCTTTGCAGATATTTTTTATGGTTTACCATTGACATAACATGTATGAAGAGAGATAGAAAACAGCTTTTATTCTAAGGACAACAACATGGTCGCCCGGTAAGAGTTGAAGAAGATACGAGATTTAAAAAGAAAAAGAAGTGTTGCTATTTTTTCCCGATGCTTTTTATCTCGATTACTTTTCTTCTTCTTTTTAACACCGACACGAGAGAAAAGGAAAAGGAAAAGCATTGTCGTTTTAAGTAAATAGATTCCTCCAAGTGATAATTAGAAAGAAAAAAAAATTATTGTATGAGCTTTGTGCTGAAACAGATAGCTTAAAACGAGATATTTTTACATTTATGGATAATATGTGGTTAACTGCAGTCAGGTGTCACATTATCGTATATCTTCAATTATAAGGGAAGATGTAACTGTATTCAAACATATCTGATTTCTTTAAATTATCTTGAGCAGCAATTTGTCACTTCTGGCTTAATCATTCTCTCATTCTGTCACTCTTTCAGTTTGTGAATTATTTGTGTAATTGTAGCATTTGGCTTAAATCTCCATTGACACTATCATTCTTATTAATTTTTTTTTTTATGATGACAGTTTATTGCATTATTTCCATTAAATGAAAGATGTTTCAGACTTTTCAAAATGGTGTGTGATATACATTGATTATTTTGTGATTGAGAAGATGAAAGATGTGTGTAAATATACAATATAAGGCTAAATTTGGAACGTTAAGATTTGAATATGTATATTTTAATCTAAGTGAATGCAAAATGACACTTTATTAAATCTAAAGGTATTTATTTTAAATCTATAACATTATTAAATTAAAAAAAGGTAATGAATATTTGTGTAAGAAGTGAGACAGTTCATCACTGTATATGTATTTGTTGGTTTCATACTGGAATATCAAAAAAATTATTTGACCAAGAAAAAAATTAAAATCAGGAAGCTTGATATTATAGCCATCATACGTAAAAGGAATTAAAATGCTTGCCATGGTGTACATGTACACCTGAGTGCTTTATTCCATATTCTAAGAACAAGAGCTGGTTCTGTGTACTTACTTGATGGCATATCCAAGATCCATCGTAGATTCAAATTTTTTTGTACTTAAGTTCCATGATTCTCACATTGAATTATCTGCTTTTAAGGGATTGAAGTTGAGATGCTTTAAAGATAGGGCAAGTATTTTGTGTACCGTTTAATCTTAAAATACTCTGTTGCAGGATTCAATTGCTTATTTATAAAGACGTACTTGTTCTTAAACACTCTTTCGCCAAGGCAATACAAAACTATTTTACAATGCCAATGTTTTAAATTGTGATTTTTATCTTTTTTTTTCTCCTCTTTCTCTTTGTCTCTCACATTCTCTCTTTCTCTCTATCCTGAGGATTGTCACCATCCCAGTTGTGCAACATCTTGCAGTGGCTGGTGAATGTCATACTAATAATGTTTGTGGTGTCAATTTCTTGCGTTCAAGTTCCCAGGTTTCGTATGTGTACAAAGTATATCAGTTGAATATAGTCATTGTAAATATATAGACTGGTTTGGAATTAAGTATAAAAATAAAGTGTTATGTCAAATATATTGCATTTTATTTATACCTGTTTTGAATAAAAGTAATGAAAATATAACCTGAAAATTATTTAGATTTTCTATAAATTAGTGACAATAAGCAAGAATATGCATGAGGTATTATTGATAGGAATTTTTTTCAAACATGAAGGATGTGGAATGAAAACAAGCAACAGCAGTTGAATGAACTGGATTAGTAACAGTAATAATGATATGAATATAAGCAAAAAAGAAACAATTAAAATTAGAATGAATTATGTAAATATCAATGGATGGAACAAAATATGAACCTGGAAAAGAAAAACAAAACAAATAAGAATGTGTATATATATTTGAATTGACTAATTTTGTACGGCATTTTCTTGTCCTTTCTGTTTCTTTCTCTTCTCCAACTCCTTTCATCCACTTCCTAAGATTTGACAGCTGTGATCAAAGGATGAAAGGCTGACTTTGTGCCAGTCATGAACGGCCTGGGGGCGCCATGGGCATGGAATTCCCCTGGTTAGATGTCTAGCCCTTACCCGTCAAGGGGACCCTGAGGGGTGGACCATTTCTCTCCCCAGTATACCATGGTCAGTAATGAAGATTTTGTACCCCAGTTAGGGGTAAAGA